AAGGATATAAATAAATCCTAGAATTGGATTGGATATAAATAGCATTATACGAGATTTACAAATTCCAATGTTTACGCAATAATTATATTCATAATTACTTAGTCTGCATACTAAGTTGTTTGGATTTTGCGGTAGACAAAAAGAAATATGTTTACAAGTTGACGACGTAAATTAAGTTGAAGAAGCGATAATCAAAGAGCTTCATCATAATAATCGAGACTTTATTTAAAACTTTCACAATAAATATATTTGTTTGAAAGCCATTAATGTGGTAATTCTTGTTATTCAAGCACATTTTTTGGTTATTTTAAACCGTTAAAATCCGAAGCTGGATGCTTTTAACATGATGACATGAACATAGTTCAAAATTATTTAACGAGCGTAGATTAAAAATTTGCAACTTTGTTGTTTATGTAAACGAGCATTATATTTTTTTATTTGTATTTGTTTTTCCTTCCGCCCTAGCACCACTCGATTTATTTTTCGCTTGAAAGAAATTCCATTCACAGTGATTGTTTCCCTTTCCTCTTTCTACAGAGTAGACACAAAAATCCAATTACAAATCGAATTTATTGGGGTTAGCCCCAAAGAAATACATAAAAAAAATATACAGTGTGCTGCGGCGGCGAATTTTTTTAATTTCCTTTATTTACGAGCGCGTTGTAAAACGTAGACTGATAAAAAAAGAGGTTAGTTTTGCATTCGGGAAAGCGAAAACAGTTTGGATTTCCAATGGGTATAATATTCACGTGTCCGCTTGATTAGGTATTATTAATTTGCATCTGCACGTTTATAAAATATATGGGAAAGTCGTATTCAAACTTATTGTATTTCAAATGTAAAAATAATAATAAAATAATTACTATAAATTAGGAATACCATATAATAGCAGTTAAAATAGTTATATTTAAAAAGTTATTATTATGATAAAATAATTATTATTCATATACGCATAAATTTAGACATTGTTAATAAAAAAGTTAAATTATGAGATATAATAAAAGGAATAATTTTTCAAAAAACAATAATAATAATATTTATTAGTTACAATGCAACCTATTAGGGCTATCGACCTAAAACTTGGCTTCATATTTTTTAAAATTATATTTAATAAATAAATAAATTCAATTTATTAACAGCATTAAATATACTTTTTTTATGTCGTAATCATTTTATTCACAATCTGTTTATCAATGTGAACATTGAGTAAATTTAAGATCGCGGTTGACATTAGGTAGGTAATCTTTCCCGGTGGATAGTTGCCATTATGATGATTTTGAACATTAATAATTACTTAAATCTATATACCAAATCTGGTGGTTTGCAACGCTTCAGCCTGTTTATTGTTTCACTATTGTCGAGTCTATCTTGGTATGTACTACTAAATGTTGGTATTGTATCCTCGACCATATCTATGTGAAGATTTTCGTGTATTTGTATATTCCTGACGAACCATGTAGTCTTAATAATATTTCTTAGGCATTGGCATTGGAACCTTTGTCTAATATGTTCGATTTACTGGCCGCACCCCACAATTGGATACCATACGTCCATACTGGTTTCAGTATACAAAGGTATATAAGTAATATACAAAGGTATATAAGTAATTTATTTTCCACTGATAATTTAGACCTTTTCTCTAGAAGGAAGTAGAGTTTTCTAAACTTTATTTCTAATTGCTCCCTCTTAGCCTGAATGTGATCTTTCCAGGTGAGTCTTCTGTCGAGACACATGGCTAGATATTTGACTTTTGTTCCTTTGGGCAGATCTTGTCCATTAAGTCTTACAGTTAGGCAAGTGTCTTTCTTTAGCATGAATGTGATTTACACATTTTCCTGTAGATTTTCTATATTTTCCTGTAGATATTCAGGTGCTACTGCTGCTGTATGACCAGCGAATATTGCAATCGTAGTATTGTTAGTTTTAGAAATATCTTCCGTGTTTAGAAGGTAAAGCAGTTAAATATATACGGATTTATAAAATAATCTAAAATTCCTACAATATCCCTAACTTGTATCAAAATACTTATATAATATTATCAATAAAATTGAATGAAATTATTCTAATTATCCTTATTAAAAAAAATGGTCTCCCACCCTTATTATAATTATTTTGAAATGAATTTAACATTTGGAGATAGCTACACACTTGGAGATAGTTTCCAAATAAATTTGTAAGTGTGGATTACTTCTTATATAAGTGCGCTAATATAATTTAAATTATTCATATGTTTATGATTATTATATAATATTAAATTATTATTGTTTAATTGATGTAGTATTTAATTAATGTAATTTATATTATCAGTATGTACATTAATTTGGTTAATAATACAATTGCCTATGGTTATGGATCGAATATTAATACAGAATATTATTATCACATAACATTAATAAAAATACTTTATCGTATACTGTGGAACCTCGTTTATAAATAAATTGTAATAAAAATGACTCGCAAAATTTAACGCATTATCGTATATTACATTAGTTTATGAGGGAAATTTTGGAACGTTAAGCGAGGTTCCACTGTATTTGGTATATGTTAATTTTTGTCTTCATCTTTATTGTACTCACTAACGAGCACCGCACATATACAGTAATTCTCTTAACGAGCAAAACAAATTGTAATAAAAATGACGAGCGATTTTTCGCATAACGAGTGACGAGGAAAAAATAATTCCCGAATTGTGTTCAGACATATTATGTGTGATTTTTTTGTAAAATAATGTTTATTAACCCTTGCAAAAATGACAGTTGTAAAAGAATAAAAAGATAATGAAAAATAATTAGGTATGTATCATAAATAATAAACTAATAATTTCGATTTTTTTTCTGCAAATCGAATTCGGATCCAGGTTTCTTGAGTTTTTTTTTGCATGAAACGAAAATTCGCATTAAGAATCTGGGACGGATTATGCTCGTTAAGCGAGGTTCTAACTACTAATTTATTTTATTTACAATTCTATACTCAACCACCCTTTAAAGTTGTGCCCAATAAAAATTGTCTATTTATATATTCTATGTTAATTATTTCATTTCAACTGCAAGAGAGTACTAAATATTACTCATGAGCAAAACTCTCGAAACGCAGGTATTCATAAAATACCGATGAGAAGCTATCAAGCGGATAATTACTTCCAGTTAAATGAAGGCAACTGAAGATGAATAGTAATAATTTGCATGCTGTGGATTAGGTCTGCTTCATGCAGTTTCTCAGACTTCTATAGATACAGGAAATGGGAACAAATTATTAATTAAATTGTACGTGGTTGAATTCTCAAAACCGTGAAAACTCGACTTGCTCCTCTTAATGAACATAATAAATAACTAGTGATTATTTTTTTTTAATGCAACCAATTTGATAATTAAGATAGAAATGTGAACGGTTATATCGTAGATCATATTTTGACAATAAAGGTACCGATATTCCATGTATACCTACGAGGGCAGTCCCAGAAGTACCAAACCTTACAGTTTTTGTTTGGAAAAAACTACTATGATTGAAAGAATCAAGCTTATGACGCTTAAGTTTGAAAACGCTACGTTCTTTAGTATTTATTTGACAGCCACAACCTGTGACCACTGGCACGTGGGTAAGGCAACTTAACCATTCGGCTATTAGTCACCCCTGAGATATAAAGATATTTTTGCGTTTTCTTTGTTTGGACTTAGCAATAAAACATGTTATATTTTTCAGTTTTTATATTATTTTCATAATATATTACTTAACACAATTCGATTTTTCCGCGTTTGAAACCTTTTTTATGTCATCCGAAACTGAGCAATGTACAGTACTTGAAACTCGATCTTATAACTCAATAAAGAATATTTGTTTCATAAATCATAAGGAAGCTCAATCTGTTTTGTTTTTGTATTGATTGTTTCATTTTAAATGAATACTGACAAGTCTTTTCGAAATTAACCGGTCATAGTAGGTTACATATTTTTCTTAAAAAACAAAAAATATTTTTTTACAATATTAGAAACAAGCACTTATGACATAACTTCACTTTCATCTTTCAATTATGTTTAAATTTCTTAATATAAAGGTATTAAACTATTTTGTAAATATTGAAATGTACTAAAAAAAACTTAACTCAGTAAATATTTTCTGTATGTTAATTAATTTATGAAAATGTTTCGCCTGACAAAAAAAAACCGGGGGTAGGTCGGCCGTAAATTTTCTTAATCTCTTCTGGTTCCGGAGATACGCACCCTCTAGAAAAAAAACGCTTAAACTCTTTTTCGTTTTTAATAATCATTTCCTGTATGTAAGGTCGGTCTACTTTGAATATTATATTATTGTAATTTTTTTTTGAATAAATTACTATGTGCATTTATTTTTAAACAAAAATAAAGATATTTAATTGAGTTTAATGTTGCCCCAAAATAAAATTGTAATTTAAATGATGTATTATACATATACATATACAAGTATATTATACAGAATTATTATTTATATTTCACAATTTATGTGCATTTTGAATCTAACCAATAAATTATTATTAGTAAATTTTTTATTTCCTATATTATTTTCAAATTTAAATATTTTCAAGAATAATTCTAAAGTTGAAAAAAAAATGAAATTACATTAATATTTATAATTTCTTAGAATTAATATAGTTTTAAATAAGACATAAAAATAAGTCATATATATATATCTAATTCATATAATAGGTGTAGTAAAATCCTTCAATATATTGTAAATAATTCAGTTTATAATTTATTTCCTGAAATGTATTTACATATAAAAATAATTAATAGATTTAACATATTGCAACCGATATTCATTTTATATATTTTTACGTAAAAAAATATCATAACAAGTACGAGAAAATAACAACATTACTTTATCAGCGTAAAATTTTCATATTATCATGGCTTTCTTTATCAACTTGGGTATATCCCAGAGTACATGGGATCTAATTTCATCTGTATTTCCCCAATTTTTCGAATAAAAACCACTCGTATAAAACCAGACGCAAATATTGAAATTTTATCACTCGTCTTGTGAATCTACCAGCATCTTAAAAGTCAAATATGTTCAAACTACTCATTGTATTCGCTCTTTGTATGAGCATGGGAATTGCATTATATTTAGAATCGCCTGAACCATTTTACAACAGTAATGGCGATGAGTTTTATTTGTATCGTAACAATCATCTTCACAGACAAAGAAGGTAAAGGAATTATATAATAATATAATTTAACATCTAAGTTTTATTTTTTACAATATTACTTTATCATATATGTAATATTTTTTTAGACAAATATCAATAGGAACTGGAAGCGACGGTAGTCATGTGCAGAGAACGCAAGAGCTTATTAATGATAAAAATCGTAAGGTAGATTTAACTTCGTTCACATCTACTAATCCACAAAATCAAATGACAGTCGGTCAACAACTTGACTACTTGGATAAGAGAACTGGTAAGTACAGTAATTTAATACAATATCAATTATATAAAAATCTGTTTTTATTGAAAATTTTCAGATAGTGCCTTTAAACTGGCAGGTCAACATACGCAAAATTATGGAACCGATTTACAAGCTGCCGGTCAGTATAACTTTTTGCGTACAAATGATGGTAGAGGAACAATTGGTTTGGCCGGCGAATACAGCCGTCACTTTGGTGGACCTTGGGGTACTCAGCAACCCAATTATGGAGTATTTATCAGAGGCAATTATAACTTCCCTTAAACCCGTGTATTTATTAATATTTTATAATAAACATATTTCCAATTATAATGTATAATACGAAAATAAATGTCATATACAATGTGTAAAGTAAAGGCTCGCTTTTAATATGTTTTCAAAATTCCAAAGGACACTTCAAAAGTTTCAATCAGATTATTTATACCAATTTTAACATTCAAAATCATTGAAAAATATCAGATATTTTTTACTGAATATATTTTTTAAATACGGTTTTATGTATTTTAATTTAATATAATTGTTAATAGCTCTTTGCAGTTTAATTTTTATATTTATTATTCTATTGAATATTTTATTTTGTATTTTAGCTGTTGCAAGAAATATTATAATTATAATTGTTCTACGGAATTAAATGGGTTTTGTATTCATTTTTAATTTTGAAGTTAGTATATAAGTTTATATATAAATATTAGTATTGATATTTAATAAATTAAATAAATCTCTATATAAAATGTACAAAGTCCTATGGTAAATTATCCTTTGAAACAGTTTTCATTAATATGACTATATTTTATATTTATTAACTATGTGTCTTAGTTATAATAAATATTATTTTGACCTCAATTTTCTTATTTAGAATTTGTCTAACCTTATTTTATCTTTTTTTATAGTTTTGACTATTAAATATATTTTACAAATTATCCAGTAATTTTACTAACATATTTATGTTTGCTATAAAAATAAATAATGATTTAAAACTAGTGTACATGTACATAACAAAAATAGTCATTTTCTTCTCTAGACCAGTGATTCTCAAAGTGGGGGTCGCAGTGGCCGTCTGGACGGTATGTTTTTCTATACATACCTATTTTTTGGGTCCTTTTAATTTGTTTTGCGTGCAAAAGGGGGACTCGGGCCAAAAAGTTTGAAAAACATTGTTCTAGAGTCTAGACTATTCTTCGTAACTTCTTTATATACTGAAAAATATGATTGTTGAAAGATCAATTACAATATATTAGAAACATTTGCATTGCTTTCCCACGTCTCGTCCCTTTAATCCTCTATACTTCATCTTTAAAACCTCCTATCCTCAATTATATTAATATTAAAAAAATGGTGCCTTAAAATAATCCCATCCAAGAAAAAATTCCTTGTTCCCTATCATTGCATATCCAACTCGTATACCCATGTTACATTAAGCCTTCTTGATCCAAAACTCAACGTCAATTTCCATTCCAAACAACTCAAGTCCAAACTTAAATCCAGATCCCACCATTTCTCAAGTCCTCAACCTTCCGTAGCTCCGAAACATCCATACAGTGTCAAACATCCACTTAAAAATCTATTTGCCGTCCAATCTTTGATTATGGTCCTCTACTTTCCCAATGGCGAAATTCTATTCTAAAAAACCTGACCATATGCGAACGCTCTGTCCTTCGCATCCTCACCGAAATAATCTGCTTTACTCCAAAACCAAAATAGTTCTTTTCGCTCTCCGTAAAATTTAAATCGAAATATCCAATATCGTCTCGCTCTCTGGATTCTGTATTCCTCGAGAATATCCAACCGAAATTAACCCCTTTCCAATACCTAATGTCCCTTGAATGAAACTCTCCTGGCTGCTTTTTTTTCTCACTGACATTGTATTTTACATCGGTTGATAGCCATTTGGCCAGTTTATTAATTATTTTTATTAATATATTGTATGTAATGTAAGTTATTTTCAGAGTTTACTATAAATTTATATTATTTTGTTGATACGTAATATGTTATTTGTAGATTAATATTGAAGTAATAAAAGTAAAAATCTTTGTAAACAGTACGTTGCAATATATTTTTTGTTTTGTTTATAAATAGTATGTAATTAATAATTGTTGCAATAATTGCATATAATATAAAGCATAATCTCTCGGAAATAGAAAGAAACATTGCCCAGTCTATATATCTATATATACTCACTATATCGAGTGAACTCTCATAAAAGGTTATCATGGTTGAACATACATTACCAGCACTTAACTAATTTAAATACATTATTCTATAAGATAACCGCAATGCAGTAAAGTAACACAATCTGATATGCGAATTTATATATTAAGAGCGTCGTTTAATTAATTTTCACACTTAAACTATTAAGTAATTTTGACATTTTGAATGCTTTGTTTTAAATAAAATTTATAAAATTTTTAGCGATGTGATAATGTTATATTTGACAAGTTTTAACCAAAGTTTATTCATGCATTGTATTAAATAAATAAAAAGTAGTAACTAAGTTAAGTTGACCATTTTTATTTTATTTGAGCAAAATATTAATTATGGAATACATTCTAAAAACAATTTAACATTCAAATTCTAAATAATTACGATTCATTGTATGGTTTTAAATAGTCCGGTTTTAAAGTTTCAAAACAAACTACAGTGGAACCTCGTTTAACGAGTTTAATCTGTTCTCAAATTTCCGTATTCTTACTCGTATAGTGAAATACTCGTATAGTGAAACAAATTCAAAAATACACATAATATGTGTACACAAGTTTTAAAATTGATGTAGCAGGCGCGCAATCCGGGACTTTTCTTCTCATCGTCACTCGCACCCTTTTTGTGCGGTTATAAAATCCTTGATTCGTGCGGTTCTTACCAATCCTGGGTATTGGCTGTACCTCACATGCTGTATTGCATTTACTTTTTTTTACATTGACATAGTATACTTCATCTTTCTACGTATATTTATAATTCAACAAAATCCTGAAAATTAGGTATAGCAATACCTCATATAGTACGGCATCGATCTGTAGGGTTATAGTCAGGTTTGAAATAAACTAAATTTTAATGAAGCAAGTAATTTTTTTTTCTATTTTGTATTTAATATTATTTGTATGTATTTAGTTTATTTTTAGTTCAGGACTAAAACTACTATGTAATAATTATTATTAATAGTTTACTTTATGTATAATTTTAAGCATACATCCATTAACAAACTTGTTTTAAGTACTATACAGTTTTGGTAATTCTAAACTACCCAATTAAGATAAATATTATATATTAGACCCTTGAAAAGTTATCTTAAACTTATTTATTATCTGATTTAACGTAAACTATTAATCTAGTGTTTTGATATAGTTTATACCGATATAATTTTCTAAATAAACATATATAATTAGACAAAGAACTATTATATAAACACATTTATTGGCCTCCATTTGGACCAAAGTGCTATCGACCGAGATTTTTCTGCTAGACTATTAAATATACAAAATAGTTAAAAAAACGGTTATTAATAAAATTTATAATGTATATTATATTAAGAGCAATTCGCTTACATAATGTAACACGATAGCGCTCGTGTACATAAATAAACACAAGA